TTTAGTTATGTGATATTTTAACTTGTATTTTACTGTAAGAAACTCATGCTTGCCTGGCATTTTGATGTGGTGTTACGTTCATAAAGTTGATCAGATATGCATAATTGTCTGGGTAGATTCACAAACAGGATTTTATTCGGTCTTGAAGACCAATTTTGTAACTCATTTTGGTGGATAATCCATGGGGTCATGTTGTTATTCTCCTTTCATATACTCGTAGTTAATGAGCAGGATAAGCTTGTTTGGGATTGTAATGTGTTTCAATGCTTGCATAAAGCTTAATAGTTTGTGGTACAGTAATGCATGATAAGGTTGATGGGCCAAATTGGGAATTTGATGATCAGTCATCTGTACATATAGAATTATCGACATGATAATCTATGCTGATGTGGTGGTCAAATATCTACAATAATTCTGGTGATATTAGGTAAATGCACCTCACAGTCTCCTCTTATTGGATTTTTCATTTCGATATCTGATTTTCATCAATAGGGGGAGGGTCGTGATGTAACTCAGGTCTAGAGCACCAGAGTAAGGTCGATTTGCTGACCATGAGTTGATTATCTATCAGGCAACAAAAGTTGCTAGGTTTGAAATGTATTAAGAAGTTCGTTCTGTCCAACTTTTCCTAATTTACAGAGTACAGGTGGCTTTTACCCATGTGGTAAGAGATTGGTGGTGTGGGTATTGGTATCTGTGGCCCTGTAGGTGTGCTTTGGAGCCTGAATATGTTTTTTTGGTAGGTAGATGTTTTAAATAATACTAAGATATGAAAACAAAGAGGGGATGAAGAAGACATGAGTGATGTTAGATGAGATTGACAAAACTTCTGGAGGGCCTGTTTGGGGCTTAGCAGGATTCCATCCACTTTATTTTTCAATGCAATTTTTTAGATTTGGGGGTTCCAACTATGAGGATGGTCATGATCTAGTCTATGCTTGCAGTGACCAAGACGGTTAAAGTCACTAGACTGAGAGACTGCTAGACCATGTCAAAAATTTTAACAGGTCATTAATCATGTGCATAGGGTTCGTGAGGAGAGGTCCTTTTGTTTTCTAGTTCGTGAACTCCATATTGTGATGGGTGGTTCAGCTCCAACCTCAAGTAATGTGTGGAGCAAAGACTATTGGCAGTGGCAGAGCTAGAAATTTATTAAAACCTAAACAAGATGATAGCTTCATTATGACAGTAACTACCCTCATGGAACAATAGCTCTACATAAATATAAATGTTTCATCCTTCCATCCGCAAACCCAAATCCAACCAAAATCATGTCAGAGAAAGAAAATGGCAATATGTCTTCAACAACATGCCCACATAAACCTAAGTTTCCACTAAGAGAACTAAAAGTCATTGCTATAACTAAAATCGTATTTTCTCCAGAGATCAGTATATCGTATTACTATGATTCAAATTGTTGGTTCCTCATGTTAAATTTCTTCTTCAAGCTAAATTTATTATCCCAAAACTCTCAATGTGAGCTTGGCTTTTGCTTTGATACTATGTTGAATTAAATTATCCGCATAGCTTCTTATAGACATTTGATCAAACAGGTTGTGGACATGTCATCTACCAAATTCACTGCTGTAAATGCATATCACTTCCATACTGACTTAGAGAATTAGCCAATTCACTTGGTACGACTTCATTAAAAGGTTACCGGTTCATACCCGTCACAATTGATCCAAAAGAAAAAACTACAGCAAATAACAACAATATGGCACTTCGAAAAAACGGAGATGATGAGCACTATGATTTTCTTCTATAATAGGGTTAAGGACAAATTTTCAAAACCATCCGGTTTTGAAATTTATTCCCCTTTAGTTATGTGATATTTTAACTTGTATTTTACTGTAAGAAACTCATGCTTGCCTGGCATTTTGATGTGGTGTTACGTTCATAAAGTTGATCAGATATGCATAATTGTCTGGGTAGATTCACAAACAGGATTTTATTCGGTCTTGAAGACCAATTTTGTAACTCATTTTGGTGGATAATCCATGGGGTCATGTTGTTATTCTCCTTTCATATACTCGTAGTTAATGAGCAGGATAAGCTTGTTTGGGATTGTAATGTGTTTCAATGCTTGCATAAAGCTTAATAGTTTGTGGTACAGTAATGCATGATAAGGTTGATGGGCCAAATTGGGAATTTGATGATCAGTCATCTGTACATATAGAATTATCGACATGATAATCTATGCTGATGTGGTGGTCAAATATCTACAATAATTCTGGTGATATTAGGTAAATGCACCTCACAGTCTCCTCTTATTGGATTTTTCATTTCGATATCTGATTTTCATCAATAGGGGGAGGGTCGTGATGTAACTCAGGTCTAGAGCACCAGAGTAAGGTCGATTTGCTGACCATGAGTTGATTATCTATCAGGCAACAAAAGTTGCTAGGTTTGAAATGTATTAAGAAGTTCGTTCTGTCCAACTTTTCCTAATTTACAGAGTACAGGTGGCTTTTACCCATGTGGTAAGAGATTGGTGGTGTGGGTATTGGTATCTGTGGCCCTGTAGGTGTGCTTTGGAGCCTGAATATGTTTTTTTGGTAGGTAGATGTTTTAAATAATACTAAGATATGAAAACAAAGAGGGGATGAAGAAGACATGAGTGATGTTAGATGAGATTGACAAAACTTCTGGAGGGCCTGTTTGGGGCTTAGCAGGATTCCATCCACTTTATTTTTCAATGCAATTTTTTAGATTTGGGGGTTCCAACTATGAGGATGGTCATGATCTAGTCTATGCTTGCAGTGACCAAGACGGTTAAAGTCACTAGACTGAGAGACTGCTAGACCATGTCAAAAATTTTAACAGGTCATTAATCATGTGCATAGGGTTCGTGAGGAGAGGTCCTTTTGTTTTCTAGTTCGTGAACTCCATATTGTGATGGGTGGTTCAGCTCCAACCTCAAGTAATGTGTGGAGCAAAGACTATTGGCAGTGGCAGAGCTAGAAATTTATTAAAACCTAAACAAGATGATAGCTTCATTATGACAGTAACTACCCTCATGGAACAATAGCTCTACATAAATATAAATGTTTCATCCTTCCATCCGCAAACCCAAATCCAACCAAAATCATGTCAGAGAAAGAAAATGGCAATATGTCTTCAACAACATGCCCACATAAACCTAAGTTTCCACTAAGAGAACTAAAAGTCATTGCTATAACTAAAATCGTATTTTCTCCAGAGATCAGTATATCGTATTACTATGATTCAAATTGTTGGTTCCTCATGTTAAATTTCTTCTTCAAGCTAAATTTATTATCCCAAAACTCTCAATGTGAGCTTGGCTTTTGCTTTGATACTATGTTGAATTAAATTATCCGCATAGCTTCTTATAGACATTTGATCAAACAGGTTGTGGACATGTCATCTACCAAATTCACTGCTGTAAATGCATATCACTTCCATACTGACTTAGAGAATTAGCCAATTCACTTGGTACGACTTCATTAAAAGGTTACCGGTTCATACCCGTCACAATTGATCCAAAAGAAAAAACTACAGCAAATAACAACAATATGGCACTTCGAAAAAACGGAGATGATGAGCACTATGATTTTCTTCTATAATAGGGTTAAGGACAAATTTTCAAAACCATCCGGTTTTGAAATTTATTCCCCAAAAAAACCTCTTTCAACCTTAATTCCAAAAACAGACCTAGTTGGATGAAACTGGGTCTGTTTTTGAAAAAAAAAATTTCCAAACTTCACGGGAGTTAAACTTCACGGGAGTTTTTTCTCATAACAAAACTTCACGGGAGTTCAACTCCCGTGAAGTTTGAAATTTTTTTTTTTCAAAAACCGACCCAGTTTCAACCAACTGGGTCGGTTTTTGAAATTAAGGTTGAAATGGGTCGTTTTTTATAAATAAATTTCAAAAGTGGATGGTTTTGAAAATTTATCCATAGGGTTAATCCCCTCCACAATTGGACCAAAACAAAAAATAATAGCAATAACAACAATATGGCAAATCAAAAGAAGATAACGAGCATTGTAATTTCCTTCTACTATAGGGAAACTCGGAAAACAAGAAAGAGTTCTGGTTCTCTTTTGTTTGGGTCATTTACATTTTAGTCTTACTTCAAAATTTACAATATATCAATACCCCATACCTTTTTTCTATTTGTCAAGAGAGGGCTAAGGCCCCATTGGGCCCCATATGACTCCGCCCCTGACTATTGGTGTGTTTTGACTGTATTTTTTTCTTCTATCCATGGGATCATATACTATGATAGGTTTTTTCTTTCATTTGAGGGTTTTGGTTATGTGTCAGATATGGCAATTGTCTGTATCTCATTTTCGGAATATTCTGTTAAACCATTCTAAATGAAATGCAGGGTTGGGATGTGTCAATGTTTGCAAGCATGTGCTCAGAGGGTTAGGATGGTGATAAATCTCATGCTCAACATTTGCCTCAAAAATTTAAGACACTAGTTATATATGCCATAAATATATACTAGCTGTTTCCAAATGTTCTTGAAGGAACCAAGTAAAAATAAGAAAGGTAACCAGAAAATGCAAGTCAGAAAGAGCATCCAACATACCTGGGCTGAGTAGAAGGTGTCAATATCTATGTTTAGTTGTCCAACATAGATACCCATGCATTAACCTTGTAGAGTTATCCAGGCTTTATGGAACATACACAAACATGGAACTTCATCTTGTCCTACATAAATTTAATCCTTGCTCATTATAAATTATGCAATTGAAACACATTTTATTTTACAACTTGGTATGTCAAATATACATATAGCTGGTCTAATGTGACATGTCAATCACATTTTGTTTGTTTTTTAAAATCTATATCTGTGTTGAGATAAATGTTGAACCAGTATGGTTTTTATAATGTCTTTTTCTTGTGCGTTGAATCTTTTCTTTTGCTTATTCGTTGAATCTCACTCTCTTAGTTAATGTTCTTTGCCTACAGGCACTTGTTGAATGTGACAGAGACTCCATAGACCTAAGTGGAGATGTTGGTTCTGTTGGTCGAATAGTAATTTCAAACGGTCCTGCTGGGAACAATGAAATGCTCCTAGACCTGAAAGGTATTATTTATAAAGCATTCATTTTGTTGCTTGATTGGTCAATCTTTCTGACAACTTCATGGAAGTGTTGCAACCAGACACATTACCTGACCAGGACTATGTTGACTATCTTCTTCAAATATTAGGTGATATGTTTTCCGAATATAGGAATAGTAATCAGAAGCAACTCCTCACCCATAGTTTTAGTGGTCTAGGCTCATGTCTAGGCCTAGGCGGTACATCCTACCTGGGTCTTGGGAGCACCTAGGGGAGCATGAGCCGTTATGCGGATTGCAAAGTTTTAGGTAGTGGTCTGATTACCTCTGCTGCTGCCTCCACCTCCTTCAATCTCTTTGGCCTCATCTATCGACTCCTCCGCCTTCTCCAACCTTCAGCAAAACCTCCTCCACCTCCAGTTAAAAAGAGGGGAAGAAGAAGAAAGAAAGGGGAAAAAAAACTGTCCTTCCCCTGTTTCTCCCTTTTAGGTTCATTGTATGTTTCTTCTCTCAAAGTACTGATAAAAGATGAATCCATGAGTAAACCTCTTGTTCCACTTTTATTTACAATAAATCTGCTACAGGCATCGCTGATATTACCAATGTAATTTGTTGATGTTACAGGAACGATTTACAAGTCAACCATCGTTCCTTCACGGACATTTTGCATCGTATGTTCCCTAATCCTCATTTTAGACTAAAACAGATATCATGCTAGCTGAGTTATCTGTTTTCATACTTCTGTTTTCTATTAAATTTTGTTTTGCAGTTACTTTGACTACCTGCTAGTAATGAATATTTATTCTTGCAGGTTAGCGTGGGACAGTCAGAAGCAAAGGTCTGTTTATAATACTTGGCGAATAAGTTTTCCTTGCTGCTGGAAAATTGTTTTTAGACTAAAATGTTTTTAAATGGAAGAAAGTTGTAACAGAAATTATTCTTTCTCTATATTGTAGAAATTTATATCATATGACCGATATTATTTTTCCTGGTAAAGGAATTCTTGTTGTTCTTTTGGCCTGCAGAATGGTTTTCAAATTTTGTTCAAATTACTAGAATTTTATCCAGACTCAGTACTTGTTTTTCCACAATGAGCTTCATCATTATTTCAGCTTTTCTCCCTGCAATTTCATGTTAATTGCATGCCTAGGATCCATCAATGCATTGTGCAATTAGAGTTTTTATCGGTTCCTGTTGTTTCACAGTGATCTTTATTGTCATATGTGCAGATAGAGGCTATCATGAATGACTTTATAAAGCTGGAGCCTCAGTCAAATGTTTTTGAGGCTGAAACGATGATCGAAGGTTATGATTCTACCTAGAGTTACAAGCTGTTATAAGATCAGTGTTCAGTAATCTATTGTTATCATAGGATTAGGTATCTAATATCTTGTGTATTTTGAGGAAAGATATGTGGTCTTGATTATCAGTATAAATGTGTAGGCAGGGATTTAATTTATGATGTCTTCCATTTGAACACAATTTGAGGAAAATGTGGAGTTCCTTAGTTGTCCATTTTACTAGCACTATGAGTTCCCTTTTACTGGAGCATCTGATAAAGATATGTAGATTATCTAACAGATTATGGTTGAGTGCTGATATTACCTTTTATTGACAGGAAAATTTCAACAAAAAAACGTAAAGAAAAAGTTTGATATGCATTGCGATTTAAAGGACCAACTAGAATCCAGAAGGCAATTGTGTAATTTCATTTTTCATGTAGAGAAAACTAGAAATTTCAGTCTTGATATGTGGAAGGAATAGAATTAATGATATGAAAGACTAAACATCAATGACGACTGACTGTATTTACTATCTGTTTACAGCACTATACAACTATATCATGAATTTGCTCACTTGATCAATAGTGGTTTCGTTCCATCTCCATTTCATGTTTATCCTGAAGATAATTTCTATCCGCACTTTTCATGGATCACAAATACCATAATAATCACAGCCCTAAAATACCAAGACTCATTCTAGTTGTTTGATTGGATTTGTGGGCCCTCATATGATTACTCCTATTAAGGCAATATCTGGAGTCGTGTCAAGTTCATTTGAGGGATAAAACGACTTATCTTACACCTTCAAGCTTAACAACATTGTGCTATCTTCTTTTGACCAGGTACTCTCGATGGTTTCTCGTTTGATTCAGATGAAGAGGGTCAGAAGATGTCTAAGCCCGCTGCTCCTCAAAGTGATCAAAACAATGAAAATGGAGATAAAGCAAACACAAAGAGTAAAAGAAAAGTTGAGAAATCCTCAGTATGTTGTTAACCTTAAAGTAATTTATGGCTGTTCATCTTCCTTGTGAAATATATAAATCTAGAATGGGCGTGTTCATAAGTTGGTTAACTCTCTGGTTCATGTTTATGATTTACTTAGATTCTTTAAATGCTATAGCTTCTCTTGCAGTTTCGTGGATTTTTTTTTCTCGTTTATTTCGAATCTTATTCAGTGTTACTTAGTTGCATCACAGTTCTCTCTTATCTTTTAGATTGGAAAGCTGCTTAGCTCTTCTAGTGGCCTTTAACATTGGTCACTGTATTAGTCCATTTCATTGTATTAGTAATCAAATTGAGGAGGCAGTCATTCGTATATTATTCCTCTTGCTGGATACGTGCTGAATATTATTTGCTTAGCTTCGTAATTTGCTTTGAATAATAATCTTCATAATTTCCCAAGACTCAATTTGTTAGACATCTTTTTTCTTTCTTCATGGTGAAGGCACTTGGATTATGAGATAAACACCATATAACCGGGATTTGGGGCGTGGAGAGGAATATTGGAAAAGCATTCTGTAGATGTTTAAGCTCTTCTGTACTCTTTTTTTCTCTTTCTAACTAAGAGATATTATATTGTGTAAACATTGGGATTAATGATTTACCATCCAGCTTTATCCTTATGTGACATTTATCCTAGCTTGCAACACCTTCATAGGTAAAATTGGCCTTTTTTTCCTTTTCAACCAACACTCTTTTGGTGCTTACAACATTAAGCATCCTATTAAACTATTCTAGGGAATGTTGTTTTCACTTGAGGAGTGAAGGGATTTCCATGTACTGGGGAGGATTCAAGGCATGCCTTGACCTAAGGAGAGAAACTTTCTCCTCTATTTACTGCAGAGTGGGAGTTCACCTCTTCCATTCTCCATGTTCTACCTTTTCCTCTTTGAATACTTGGTATGAAGAAGTTGACAGCTCCCAGATCTCTCCCTCCTTTCCCCTGTAGAGACACATACCCGTCAAGCATGCACGGAGCACATAGATATACATGTTAAACCCTAGTTATTCTTGATTGAAAGGGCCACAAGCAATATGAGATACAGGCACGTTGTTCTACTGGCACTTAGTTTAAACAATTATCTTAAAAGTTTTGTGTCCATATGGCTAATGGCTAGGCATCTCATGTTCTATAGAAACTCGTATCTAAAATTATCTGAATATTTGCCATGATGTAATATCTCATGGGATCACCATTTTGTAGAGTGAGCGAGCATAAGCAGAAGAAGTTTACCTGTGATGTTAGGACGAAATTAAGTGCAATTATCTAAGAGAAACCATGAAAATCTTACATTTCATTTCTGCATTTGGAGATATTAGATTTCAAAGAGCCTCTGAGCATTTAATATGGAAATTATTTTTATCTATAAACCAAAAACTGTGTCCATTCGATCATGTCCTAGCCATCTTCTCAGTTTTTGACGAGAGATAGTATCATAGAATCACTGGTTAATGCAGTATTTCTAAACTTAATAGCAATAATCTAGGATTAAAAAAGGATAGTTTTTTTCAGTTTCAAGGAAAAAGTTTCTGCACTGACATATATGTCATGCTTAGGAGGATGAGAGAGACTTATACATAGCAGTTATTATTTAATATTCACAATCAGCACTCTTTTGGCATGCTTATGAAGTTTTTTCAGTCTTGATTGAGTGATTTTCTTGCAGGGTATGATAAATAAGAGGGTTAAAGCTGCTGGCAGGCCGTCCAAGACTGTAAAGAAAACGAAGAAGTCAAAAAAGTGAGGGAATGTACTCGTCGTTCTCTCTATCTCTGTTGTTATATTGTTAAATGTACAAATATATTAGGGAGGATCAGATATTCTTAGTTATTACGTTCTTCATTTTCGTTGGAATGATTTCAAACAGATTAGTGAAATAAATTGAATAGAGATTTCAGTACAATTTCCTTTACGCTTTATGTGTGAAATCACCATTATCATCATTACTTTTTTTTGCCCGTCCCCCCACTTTTTTTGTGCTTTTTAGAGACCTGTGAAAATGATTTACAATAAAGTAATAATTGTATTGTTCATTGTAGTATCTCTTGAAATAGGTTCCTTTTCTTGGCCTCCTTGAACATGATCAGGTAATCACATTTGAATTACACTGTCATTGAAACTTTTATCTTCCATCTATTTTTACAATTTCTGATCTCAAGGATTGCAAATCATACTTATGTTTTCAATGAATTTATTATGGTCCATGAGCTATTTATATTATTGTACTCAAGCTCTTTCTATTTTCTCCTCAGTAGTCCATAAATTTATGTTTCCCATTCTATACCTCAGGCGTGTCCTTTTGTGAGCTCTCATCAAGTTCGTCATCTCTTCCTCTTTAGCCTTAGAATGAGGTCCGTCAAGTACAGAATATTCATATTTTAATATATTTTATTTTAATAAATCCAAATATAAAATTTGCACTTGATTACAATTTACAAATAATATGTAAGCAGACTTGCTTTAGGAACATGGTTAGCTTCTTTCTTTGAGAAATTAATTAATATCCGTACACTGATTCATTCAGAAAAAGAAAACTTCTTCCTGTTCTTTAAAACTACTTAGAATTTTATGTGAATCCCCACTTTCATTTATTGAATGTAAGGCTACTATTGGGTATATCCATGTAAGTATGTAACTCCATCAGGCATTCACTCAACAAGACAAGTTTGATGTGTTCTTTATTAAGTATTGTAATGCCATATACAGCGGTATTATATGTAGGTAAATTGTCTCTGAAATCTACTCTTCTATCTCCCAATTGCTGAGTACATGCACAACAAATACACATATACAGCCATATGATTTTCTTGAATTGGTGCTACCCAATTTTGTTCTTAATTGCACATGATTGTAGAGACCATCTGGTCTTCCACTTCATTTTTTGCTCTTCCTCTGCATGTCCTGTCTCCTATCTGAGTTCTCATAGAAGAAGGTCCTCGAAATTCTCTCTTTTCCTTTATCCCAACTTCTGGTTCATCTTGATGAACCCTATCCTGAATTACTTCATCATAACCCAGGCAAAGAAGAGGGTGGTTAGTATGAAAAAAGGTAGGTGAAAATTTTGGGTGCTCGCAGAAGAAGTGATATCTTGATCTCCACCTTCATCTCCATGCCAATTGTTGGGTTGACTAGGATAACTGGTTGGTTGGTTACTAGGATAGCCTGTAGGTGGAGCATTAGAATAGCCAGTAGGTTGGCCAATAGTAACACCGCCAGGAGGTGGTGGTGGCGCCCCATCAGAATAGCCAGTAGGTTGGCCAATTGTAACACCGCCAGGAGGTGGTGGTGGCGCCCCATCAGAATAGCCGTTGGATCTCCTCATCCTGCATAAGTTAATATTTAGGGGAGAGACTTTAGCCACACAAACAAAAGGAGGGGAAATTTCAATTTCTTCTCTTTCTTTATGCAGTCTTTTAAAGTCCCTAACCATTACATCAAAACTCCAAAGTTGTGAGAGTTGACGGTTATATTTTGGGCCGAAACCTGGTTCATCCAGCGGTGTCAATTTTTAGAAAATCTGCTTTTAAATTCGTGGCCGGTGGAATTTGAACCAGTTACCATCTGAAAGTCCATAACCATTGCACCAAAACTCCAGAGTTGTGGTGAGAGCTGAGTGTTATATTTTTATATTCTAACACTTTTGATCCACATTATAATATTTAGTTTTCAATTTAAAAAAGGAGCCTTAAGGGGTCTATGTCAAGCAAATTAGGCTAGTCATTCCTCTATCGTAAAGTAGACTGAAGAATAAGTAAATATGGGCAAGTGAGAGGCCAAGAAAAGCTTAAGGAGTATGTTGAATAAGCATCTTACTTGCAGTTGTAATCTAGGGGTTGTGAATTGATTGTGAATTTTGGTGCCCGCATAATCTCGGTTTAGAAAAGGCGACGAGTTAGTGACTCTGAGTGAGTCGGTGATCCGGTGATCCTGAGCGAGTAGAGATTGTGTGGGATACAAAAAAAACCATGGTTCAACTAATTCTATTAGCAAGCCTTGGGAAATAAATGTGCACAACTGAGAAGGGGAGGATAGTATGGAAACAAGGGGAGATGTGGGAACTAATGTTGAAGAATGGATGCATTCATGAAGATAAAGTGGCGGAGACCTGATTAAAAAAGATATGCAGTGAAGTAGTAGTATGACTCTGGAAGACGAAAATAAAATGCTTATGAGACTAACTGTGTCCTGTGGTAATCTATGGAAACCTTGTCAAGGTGGTTTGTTTCAAATGTAGGTCAGAACTATGCTAAGAAAGAAAACCTACAATGACATTGAAAATAACAATACGGTGAATTTTAATGTGATGAAAGAATGATTAATGGAATCAAAATAACCGTTGATATCTAATACGGAAGAAAGGTTACAACCCTCTGTTGCTGAAAGCTGCAGACCTTTTGTGGTGTATATGAAAAGTCATCTTGGTTATTTGAGAAGAGTACATGCTAATCAGATACTCTTTGAAGAGGTATATGACAATGGTAAGAGTGCGACACATCTGGAAATTATTATGCTAAGTGAGAATTGTTTCCTTAAAACCAATAATAAAATCAGACAGTACTTATCATAGTAGTAAACTCACCTGCTCTATATTAGATATAACTTGTTATATATAGTTATCTTCATACAAACTAATCAATGCCTTGTATTGGGAGAGTTCTCTATATGTGAGCCATGCTTACCCGTACACGGGGCAGAAAACAATGTTGTAGTCAGAAGCCTTGCAGGTGAAGGTGCTCGTCCTATCATCAAACGCATAGCTGTAAGCCCTAGGGCAGGCAGTCTTGAATATGGTAGAGTAGAAGGAGGGCTTGCATGTGGTTGGGTTCGCAAACTGCCCGCTGCAGCAGTATTGATCCAGTCCAAATGCTTCGCATGCGCTCTTGCACGCTACAACTCCACTGTCATCTTCCACCTGAAGCTCTTTTGGGCAGCCTACAGACGTTGTAGAGACCAGGTCAGTAAGCAGCTCATGTTATGAGATTGTTTTATTTCCATATCTGCAAAAGATTTGGTGCACTCTTAAATGGTTACATGTTTTGGTGGCTTAGAATCTGCATGTTTTGAGGTTTCTTTTATATGGGTCATTGCTGAACAATGGCTTCAAGACTTGGTTATCATTTAGGAGAGGCTTTCATAAAGAAATCTTGCTTGTTTTTAACTTTGATCGGTGTTTTCAACGAGTACAATACAAAGGGTCGTGTTCTGTCGGGTTGATTAAAATTTGCCTTTCTGGGAATTAAAATCCGTTGTAAAGCTAAATGGAGTTTTGAATATGGGGTCTGCTTCTCTCTCTGAAAAACTGTTAAGAGAAGACAGGATTCTGACTACAAATTTGCCGGGATGGTAATAGATCATCCGTTTAGCTCAGCAAACTTCCTGTCCAAAGAAATACAAAATTACTCGAGGATTTTTGGTTTTTTTGGTAGACTTTTTATTTGAGACCCACTTTCTCCATGGGGGGTCATAAGAATTCCATAGAAACAAGCAACCCCTTAGTTTTTGCGGCTGATTACTGTTTTCCGTGTATTGTTATATCACCTTTCTTTCTACTACTGTATTATATGTTTTCTGTTGTTTATATGCAGTTATGTTCAGTCAATATCAACTGAAAAATTATCTGTCACTGTTGTAATCAGTAAGTAAGTTGAAGAGTCATTTACTCGAATTGAGATCACTTGCACATCCAGTGGCATTGCACGATCCTCCGCCTCCTCTCGGTGCTGCATATATTGGCAAATTGTATCCATCCACAAGGCTAACATCATAGAAATCCTGATCCTTCCCCTTTCCGAGCGTGATCTCAAACAGCGTCGCGGGCGGTAGAGCTCCCACCCCGTTACACCGCATCTTTCCTCCACAGTCCCCCGTTTGGCAAGCGCCCGTGCCTGTTCCGTCGAACTTGCACCCTGTTCTGGCCCATATCCGACCGGACCACCCGCTTGGGGCCGGAATCTGAACCGAGTGGCCCGGGTCGAGCTTGAACCCGGTCCATGGCAGTTGTGGCGTGCCTGAACCTGCTAAGGTCCCTGGCCATATTATGTGTGGGCAGTTGTTTGATATTGTGAGAGTGCCACATAATGAGATTGGGAAGGTAATGCAGAGAACTAAGGCGATGGTAAAGAGTTTTGGGGCCATGGCGTTGAGGGGGAGGCATTGGAGGGAAGGGACGAGTATAAATTGTTTGAATAGACGAAGAGGTTGAAGGTTGCTTCAGGAGGATTATTTGGATTTGGTATTTTGCATGGATTGGGTGGCCTCGGTAGAAGGAAATACCTTAATTCTTTTTGGGTGAAAAGAAATTTATTTGTAGGACGCACATTTTTCATCTAGAACGTTAACCTATGTCTTATTCCATTTTTGGTATGGAGGGGAGTTGGGTCCCACGTAGCTCGCAAAGTGGTGAACAGGCTTTTTGGACGTGAATATATTAATTTCTTTCGTTAAGTAGGGCTTGTAAGAAAACTACCCAGCTCTTTACGGGGTTTTGTTAATTAATTTAGTGGGGAAGAGGATTCTCGCTTCAAAGGTCGTGAAAAATTCGGGTCGGAATCGAAGCAGTTGTTGCTTTGTTCATCAAAGGCCCAGAGGCTTTGGGCCTTGTCGAATCGGAGGATAACGCCCGAGTCTAGAGCGGTTTAATGCCCATCGACAACCACCGGTCGTCATTTCTTAATTTGCTTGGTAGTATGTTTCTATTTAATACAAGTGTTTTGGCCGTGCTCGCACAGCTGAGTTTATTTGATTTCTTTATTCTCTATGAGTTTCTTTTTTTAGTTATGCATATGCTTTTAAAAATTTCTTTCTTTGACCTGCTGCTGATAACATGATATGGAGTTTTTTGCTTATAAAGGTAATACCAAATAAGAGTGTGCATATCTTTTATTTTATTTTAAGCACTCACATGATTCCCACCTGTGCGAGATTTGGCATAACTGAAAAAATGCATTGAATTAAATCATGCAATATGAAGTAATCAAATAAAACATTACAATGAGATGAAATATAAGGTTTTAAAATACCCATAAAATAATTTCAAGAATTCAAGTATTTATTCCTAGAATAATCTTAACAACTCATTAGAGTTTTAATCTAATTGTTAGAAAATATCAAATAAAGCCGAGAGAATTCGAGGTAATATTTTGGATAATTTGTGTAAATGATTTGTTTATTTTTTGTGGGTTGTAGATAATATTATGTGATAGGAATTTTTTTTATAGATCTACATATTATATATTTTTTATGGTTTTTTGTATTCTATTTATTTATTAAGAGAGATACGGGTGAACCAATGACTCCTCTTTATAAAACCCAATAAAAGCGGTATATCAAATCAATAAATAAAAAAAATGAGCAGTTCGTCAATAATATTTTAAGAGGAAGATTAATTCATCAACTTTAAATATAATTTGACACAAATAATTTTGCATATATGATTGAACAGTTAATTTTGTAAAAAGCCACTCAACTATTGTGGTGGATGTAAATGCAAAATAACTAAAGTACTCTTATGAAAATCAACCCATTCAATTACAAAGAAACTCCTAACAGGTTAAAAAATATCTATCGATCAATTACAATGTTTTTTTCCTTTCTCTTCCCTCTTTCTCTTATATCTTAAAAAATCAGAGTAATTTTTTTATAATTGAGGACTTTTTTGATTTTTTTCTCAGTCACCTGCTTGTCAAGACCTAATGGTTTTAACTTTCATGATGTAAAGTGAGAAGAGTTGAATGAGACCTTTAATCTCTTTCTGAGACACCCCACATTTGAGGGGGGTTAAGTGAGAAAAGTTCATGGGGTATCTCAAATTTCGTAATTGAGGGGGATTATCAACAATATGCTCAAAACTAAAGCGGAGTTTTCTCATATTAAAATAGGTGAGGGGGTTTTTGAGGGACCTCCCATAGTCGAGGGGGGTTTTCTAAAATTAACCCATGATTTTATGTAGAGAGGCTTTCTACATGAGTTTTTTTTTTCTTTTTAACTTCTATATTTAAATAATATATGATTATGAGATTTTTGTTTAAATATGAATAGTTATAATCTAATAAAAATTATAAAAATATTTGATTATTAGAATTTTCTAATTATATATAGTTTTAATTTGATGAAGATTTTTAGGTGAATATAATATTAGATGTCTACGTGTCATAGACATAGACCGGCATTTATGATAAGGCACATATTAATTTTTTGTGTCTATATAATAGTAACACATGTCAATTTTTTTGTGCATCTAAGAGTTCTACCAATTTTTGTGTATGTAGGAAGGAGGGATGATTAATACAATCACTGGGGGGGAGTTTACCAAGTCCTAAACATACAGGGGATCAACAGTAAGGGCTTGTTTGGATTGAGGGGAATGAGGGTGAAGGGAAGTTAGGGGAACCATTCACCTCCATTCATCTTGTTTGGGAACACTTAGGAGGTGAAGTTAATTCACCCTAGTTCTCATTGGTTCACCCCCTAATATTATAAAAATTGTTACCCCCAAATTGAGGTGTAACCAAAGGGAAGCGAACTCCCTTCCCTTCCCTTCACTCAGTTTTCCTTAACTTCCCTTCACCCCCTACAAATTCAAACAGGCCCTACATGTTTAGATTGGACATGGGCCCAGTCCAAAGTTTGGTGAGTTGATGCCAAGTATGTAACCCATGAAACCCAAATCCAACGACATTCCGGGCCGACGAGACCATCTAATGCCAAATTTGCGTCTAAATCACGAGTTCTCAAAGAATCAAAGATGGCAGCTTCCCTCAAAGCTGATATCGGCCAACCATTCTTGTCTATTAGCCACTTGATGCATCCCTTGCCTGGGCCCATCACTCGATGTTCGCAGACTTGTCAAGTTCTCATATCTTCTCTGTTCAAAAGTCTCTAATGTCCACAGAAAATGGTTGGCCATCCGGACAAACCCCATGCTCTAGTGAGGCCAATATCTTGTCTTATGCTTGTGATCACCTTAGTTTTAAAATGGGTCCATTATTTGAATTTTGTGAAGGTGAGACAAATCCACCTAAACCATGCTCAGCTCTTTATTATTATACGCAAGCAACAGGACCTCTTAGCTTTCTGAGGAATACACGGCTCAGGATGACACGAGGACAAACAGGAAAGTTTCACTTTTATGAAGAAATGTCTTCTTCCTTCACCCATTTTGCTTTAATTTGTTGCTCCAACACCCCCATGTTATTGAAGGTGCGGCCGTTTATACCCCGTAAAACTATGTTATTATTAGTCGTACCTTCTTTAATAAAGGAAAACACTACAGGCACACCCCCAACCACACCTTGGGTCACACCCCCTCTCTCAGCTACAGTGCACGGGGCTCACTTTAGAATTTTTTAAACTTTTAGGGTACTTTCTACAAATTCTAAATTTTATATGGTCTGTTTTTAGTTCCTAGATTTCCAATGTACTGTTTACATTTTAAATTTTTAGGGATGTTTTTTATAATTCAAAATTTTAGAGTGTCTTTACAAACTCAAAAAAAAAATAGAGAGAAGGAAGAGAGGATGGAGGGAGAGAAAGGGGTAAAATAGGCTTTTTAAAAATCTTTGAGTGGGGACCACATACTTATATATGTAGGTGTATTTGGGAGATTGCGTTTAAAGACAAAGACACAAAATTGTTTGGGCTTATTGGTACAAATAAAACAACTTGGGTTTATAAGTAAATCATGGTAAAGCTTTGGGTTTAAATCCAAAAACCCCACAAAATTAATTTATCATCTCGTGATGCCTACATGACTCTCAACCTACCTAACAAAAAAATAGCTTTATTTGAGGTTCATCTGTATAATAAGTCCTACTAAATAGTTCAGATGTGAGTGATAACATCCCTATAAAAATAGTTGTTCTGAAATTAACACTTTTAATAATGTCATACCCCACTTATTCGATGTTTAAAGGATATATAGAAAATTCTATCACATGAATTGTGTTTGTCTTCTACTAATTATGCATGATTAGCTCCTTCACGTGTACAATTGTTTCTCATAATTTAGAAAGGTGCAAATTTATATACGATTACCTCATAGTTCTTTCTCTAAGCGTGCGATGTCATCTTGGCATCAGTACATTATTGTTTGTGACGTACAATATTCACCTAATTGAAGTGTGTGTATAATGCTCAATTGAATAATAGAAGCATGCTCCAATTATTATTAGGTGGGGGTGGCAATATATGAAAGCGAAAAAAGACGAACATCGTAATCAATACCAAACTAATATCAAGTACTCTAACAAGTGAAAAACATTAGCAAAACTTAACCTTTTCAGGCAAAGTTTAAAACTAAGTTGATCTATTACTACTGCGCTCGTCTCACTTCTTAACCTTTGGATTTATAAAGATGATGGAGGTCAGTGATGGTGGATCTAGCTAGTACTTTTGTTTTGATGGGAGGTATACGTACTCGATCACCATATTTTTTATTTACCAGTATTTACTACTTAGGATATATACGGGCTTGCATTTTGGAATAGGACAACACTATAGGCTACATGGGAATATAACCGTCAGATATAGCGATGGAGTATGCTTCCTTAAAAAAAATAAAAAAAATAAAAAAAAAGGTTCTGTCCCGTTTCATAGGTAGGAAAACAGAGCGAACGAGTTGATATTCACTGTGAAAGAGAAAAGAAAAGTAGCAGAGAAGGGAATGATATACATTAATGTATATAGATGTGCGTACCTAGTAGAAACTTATCTATTGTGTGGACGAATTTTTAAAACCAATCTATTTCTATATTTAATCTAAAAAAATATATGTTTTGAACTTATTTTCAAAAACCGCCTAGCGCTGAAACCAGGTCGGTTTTTGAAAAAAAAAAATTCGAAACTTGTGAAGTTTCATAGTTAAAATTTTTTTTTGAACTATGAAACTTTACGGGAGTTGAACTCCCGTGAAGTTTAGCTGTTTTATTAAACTTCACGGGAGTTCAACTCCCGTAAAGTTTCAGAAGCTTTTTCACAAAAACCGACCTGGTTTCAGCGTTAAGGCTGAAACCAGGTCAGTTTTTACAAATAAGTTCAAAATAAATCATTTTTTGGAATTAAACGTTCAAATAGGGTGGTTTTAAAAATTTGTCCTCTTTCGTCTCCTCAACCCTCTTTCTGACTGATTTAATAGGCACGTGATAAACCATAATGACAATTGGAATTAGATGCGGGTCTTACTTAATTAATTACTTTAGTCGGTTACACCGGCCAAAAGGTACCATCTCGAGCATAGTTTCGGCAAAGGGAAGTGACGTGTAATAGTACAATTATAGCTTGCATGCTCTAGATACCTAGTTCATAATTAAGTAGACTTCATTTGGTACATGGTTAATTTCACATTG